ACCACTCACATAAGCGTTGGTCTAATCCAAGACGTTTAAGTTTACTAAGAAGACCTAAATAGGGTGCCTTATCGAATGCTTTACTAAGATCGATAAAGACAACGTCCAGTAGATGGTTTTATACCTGGCCTCGAACCAATATTCTCTAGGTAACAGTAAGTTTGTCAAGCAGGTTCGTCCTGGTTGGAATCCACGCCGTTCCACTGCCAGTAAGCCATGTTTTACATATAAACTAAGAGCTGATCCCTTATGAGTTTTTCTAACACCTTTGCTATAATGCAGGTCAGACTTACAGGCCGGTAGTTAGATACTAACTGCCTGTTCCCATCTTTGAAGATGGGGCTTATAAAAGCATCTTTCCACTCTCTGGGTGGCATAGCCTGGAACAGAGACATCTGAAAAATCTCCGTAAGTGGAATGTATATTATATCCGCCAAGGAGATCTGCAACCTTGGGGGTGGGGTGGAATCCGTCTGGCCCATGTGGTTTTATCTGGCTTCAGCTTAGACAGTAGTTTGAGAACCACTGCATCATCTACCACAATTGGGGGCATTTTATGAGCTACATCAGTGACCTTGCTACACCTCTGAGTGGTACGACTAGGCGAGAAAACGTCACAACAGTATTCAGAGAGCTTCTCAGCTTTTGTTTCGTCTGACTCGGCAGCCTCTCCAATGTTGCTAATGAGGGACGGTATACCACTGCTAGTTTTAGTCCTGCGTTTGAACAATTTAGGATATCTGGGGATATTTTATGTCCACTACAAAATTCAAAAATGTTAAAATAGTCTCGGAAAAAACCCCCCAACCAACGACTAGTAGCTAAGATCACCATAGATACGAACACGATTATACCACAAATCATGAATAGCGTCAGTACCGAAGTGTCGAAGGACACTGGAGCGCAAAGTGACACTTGCACTGTACTAGGTGAACAAACGATGCGTGAAGTTGAAGGGAAACCCAAAAGGGGCAGTAACACTGAAATGGGTCTCGAATTTCATGAGAACACTCCTAGGAAGTCTACCGATCCCATACATGAAGTAGACATAGATGCTTTCACTACCGATAGCCTGCAAATATCACAACCTGCAGATCACACTGCACCCAGGGCCAAGCAAGATAGTCTCACTGTAAAAGCCGAAAAAAGTTCCCAAAAATCAGAGCGTCCATACACCTCCCTTTTGACAAGCCCAACAAACAGCATGTAAGCCTAAAAAAGGACTATGCGCGCAGTGCTGAAGGTCTCATAAAGGAGATGGAACACATGAGTGGAAGTGCTCTCCTTCGAACTAAGAGTAGTGGGCAAACTGCGGGCAACAGACTACACAGGAAAAATAGCTTTATCCACGCAAAATCACACGCTAGCAGACACGCAAGGGGGCGCCGAGCTGATTAAACAGCAGAATGAAACCCACGATTTCCGTAATAGCCGAGGTTGTAATATGCTTATAGACACATATAACCTGAGAACGGGACCCATAATAAAAACACATGGGCGACTAGACGGACACCACTAGGTACCATATGAACGGAAATGTATTCTCGAACCCTCGTAGTAGTTACGTAAAGACCCATCGGCATAACGGGTATGGATTGTCTCATCGGCCTTCTATGTACACACACGAAATGAGTCAACAAGTGTAGAACCACGAAAGACCTAGCACGTACTACCCTCAAAACGAACTAAAAACAGGGTACGTCGGCCCTGCAAATTACAATCTGAACTGTGAAACAGACTATCTAATGCCAAGAAATTATCCCAGATACCCATGTAATGATGCCAGAAACCAATACATGCAACAGGATTATTTTCGGCTACAACAAACAATAGTCCATCTACTGGCAAAGTTTGTTCAATGAATAGTAGACGCGCTGACACGGTCTTATCTGAGAATCCCTCCGAACATAACATAGGCAACCAGGAGTTAGGGATAGTAACAAGAAAACCTACTAATAATCCTTCCAACAACCGTGGTTTTCTGAGAATTATGCTTCTAAATGCTCGATCTCTTCTTAACAAAATAACTTCCCTTCGCAGCTTGGTATACATGGAACGGCCAACATTAATTCTGATAACTGAAATTTGGCTAACTAATGATAAATAGATTCGGAATCTGAATCTTATTATTATATGACTCACTTTCCGGTGGATGATAGGATGCAGTGTGATAACTGCAACCTATGGTTCCATAAAGTTTGCACCGGCTTATTACCATCAGCCTATAGAAGATGCAGCAAGCCACCATCTCCGTGGGTGTGCAAATTTTGTACTAACCTGTTGGACGTCCTCATCCAAGAGGCTGTAGGACTTCTCATGTTCAAGAAATTAACACAAACCTCAGATGAGGGGGAAAGGCAGCAGCATCTGGTACTGATGTCATAAATAAGCGAGGATTCTGGCCTGAGTCATAAGACAGGGACAGAACCACATCCGCAAGCTTCGGAAGACGCAACAGAGGTAAAGTGTGCCCAGAAGTCTGCAACAGCGCACAAAAAGCCCCAAAAATCGAAGAGGGAAAACAGTGTCAACATTGTAAGACCACTGGATGATACCACAACGACGAAGTGTTGCGTGTCTGGTGAACGCACGGCTTCCACCTGCGGCTAGAGTAAAGTGGAATCAACTGATTCCACTTGGTTAGTGCAGAAAAATAGGAAGCTCGAGAGTTATAGGAAAGAGAAAAGCACTGTGCTTAGTGATAAAGTCCCAACGGCCGTAAACACTAATAATAACCAAGTGTTGCTTTGTAGGGATTTGATTGGTTTCAGGATTTCATCATGAGCTGACAGTAGTTAGAGAACCATTGGGAAACCCGAAGGGAGTACTGGACAGCTGTTTCCTCTGTCCTAGTTTGGGACTCTTCAGCAGTACGCACCCACTGCGATTCGAACCCAGGACCTTCCGGTTACAAGGCGAGCTCGTATACCATTGAGCCACTGGGACCCGGACCCAATGGTCCTTGAATTCTAACTTCTGCCAATTCACGACATAGCGCGACCGCTAGCCAATGTCTTCGGCGAGTATTTGTCCTCACACCCGACCAGCTGCACCCTACTGGTCACGACTTCCCACTGGAACCCAGGTAACTACCTACCTGAATGGGGCCAGTCACCAGTGAGCATCTTATTAGTATTCAAGTGTTGGTTTGTAGGGATTTGATTGGTTTCAGGATTTCATCATGAGCTGACAGTAGTTAGAGAACCATTGGAAAATCTGGGAGTACTGGACAGCTGTTTCGTCCTAGTTTGGGACTCTGAAACCAATCAAATCCCTACAAACCAACACTTGAATACCAATAAGATGCTCACTGGCGACTGGCCCTATTCAGGTAGGTAGTTACCTGGGTTCCAGTGGGAAGTCGTGACCAGTAGGGTGCAGCTGGTCGGGTGTGAGGACAAATACTCGCCGAAGACATTGGCTAGCGGTCGCGCTATGTCGTGAATTGGCAGAAGTTAGAATTCAAGGACCATTGGGTCCGGGTCCCAGTGGCTCAATGGTATACGAGCTCGCCTTGTAACCGGAAGGTCCTGGGTTCGAATCGCAGTGGGTGCGTACTGCTGAAGAGTCCCAAACTAGGACAGAGGAAACAGCTGTCCAGTACTCCCTTCGGGTTTCCCAATGGTTCTCTAACTACTGTCAGCTCATGATGAAATCCTGAAACTAATAATATTGTTAAACCTTCGGACTCAAATTACAGTATAGTAATTTGGAACTTGGAGGTATCGAAGAAAGTAGATCCAGCTGTCCGACATGCTAAGGATTTCGAGATAGTTAGCTCCATCATCCGTGAAATGCTTCCGAAAAACACAAATGGAGTTCACATAAGGAAAGTCATCAGAATCAGTAAACGAATCGCCGATGCAACGGAAAGTTCCCCACGGCTGCTGAAGATAGTACTGTATTATTCTCAAAAACGCATTCAAGATTTAGGAAAAAAGATGAGAATTAAGCCAAACTGGCTTCTGGAAGATAGAATTAGGAGAAGAGAAGTCGTGGTTGAATTAAAGGCCCGATTAGAAAAAGGTGAAAAAGAGCTCAAACTGTTGGGTTTTCAGGTAGTGAGGTCTCGGAAACCTATGTTGCCCAGACCTCTGTTCATAAGTCGAGTGAACACGTAGGTCTCCCAGTATGCTACACGAACGCTTGTAGCCTTAGGAATAAGCTTCCTGAACTAGGAGGAGTGTTGTCCGAGGAACTACAGCCCGATGTCATTGCTATCACCGAAACACGGTTGTTAGTGGGTGTAGACTTAACTCCACTCATACCTTGGTACATCTGCATTACAGCAGGCAAAGTAAGTAGTTGAAAAAGCGGGAGGGTTGCTCTATACATCCAGGATGACATAGGAATTAGATTGACGTTGTCGGAGGCTCATGACAGCAGCAGCACCTGTGAAGCCACAGGTTGTGTCATTAACTTGAACAAAGGCACTGTGACGATTGGGGTTACTTATAGAAGTCCTACCAGCCAAGCTGATGATTTCGTTCTAAATCACCTCAGGAAGTGAAGTAGCAAGAATAGACGTCTAATAGTAGGTAACTTTAATGCCCCACATATTAATTGGGAGGAATAAACATCAACTACTTCGTACAATCGTTTCAACCTGAGTCAGTAGTAATAGCTTTGAAACAGAAACTGGTTCTCTGAAACGATATATATTTCCAGGAGTAACATAGGCAGCAAGAGCCTTCTATCCTGAGAATCTGAAACGGAATTCAGTCTGTATGTCCAATTGGGAGGATCCTTGAATTTAGAAACACGACTGAAACAATTAAGTGTATCACCAAGCCCTGATGGACCTACAGGCTTTAGATTTCACCCGTTTATTTACCTCAACTGTCCAAACAATCTGTTTTTAAAGGTATTTTGCTTTAAAGTCACTAAGTGAAAATCTTTCTTGTTGTCGTCTATTGATTTATATTTTGTATTTTCCGTAAAGAATCCCTCTGTTATATATACTGTGCTTGATATATTTTTCTTCTAACAGGTATTTAAGAATGTCGCATAAATTATTTTACTTAATTGCGACATTAATTGTTCATTTGTGTTTGGTGAATGCGGACACTCCTGCTAATTGTACATATGAAGATGCTCATGGTCAATGGATCTTTCACGTTGGAGATTATGCATCAAAGTGTTCTGAAAATTGTAAGTGAAAATGTTTAAAAGTTTTATCAGGAATTTATCAGTGAAACCGAAACAGTCTATCACTATCAATCTTTTATATCCGGATATTGCTATTGATGCATTTGGTAATCGAGGACATTGGACACTTATTTATAATCAAGTAAAGTTTTTAAATCAATAAATTCATATGATTTTGTTCTAAGGGTTTCGAAGTGACAATAAATCATCGTAAATGGTTAGTTATATTCTATTACAAAAAAAATGGAGATTATAATTGTCACAAATCTATGCCAATGTGGACGCATGATACTTTAATTCGTCAATGGAAATGCTTTATGGCAGAGAAAATTGGAGTACATACCAGGTAATTTTAATATTTATCTGTTTTAAGTTATTAGAGTGCGTTGGTGGCACAGCAGTTAGAACGCTCGCCGACCATGCACATGGTCCTTGGTTCGATCCCTGGCCACAGACGCACTCCTTTACCTCGCTAAGCCAGAAGTAATGCTGGTAAAGATGAGAGGTTGGGCATGAGCCTAGCAACCCCGTCCTGTCAACATAAACACTGCTACAGAAACTTCAAGAGATTGGAATAACACATTAAGTTATTTACAACATAAAATATGTTATTCAGAACAAGTTGTACAAAATATTAACAGGATCCCTTAATGCTTTTATAGAGTGATTTTAAGTTTTGTGGGTTAAAGATGCACTTACAGTTTCTAAACGTTGATGTCTACTCTAGTTCCAATAGTTGGATGATGCCATTAACTTTTAGGTACCCGCCGTGGTTCATGCGTTTTATACAGTTATTTTTTAACTCATGGAAAATTCCCATTGTAACATATAGAAAATCAAAACAAGTGATTCAGCGAAGAGACTGTTTTCAATGAATTTATCGTCAAGTTGTACAATCGTATATATATGGTTTTTAAGAAGTTATATCCGGTGAGGGAATTCAAACATAGGTGTGAATGCATAAAATAAAAATAATAATAATAATAATGATATGAAATGCAATTAAAACTAAACTGTTTGTGATTAGAATCATAGTTAAATGTCAAGTGGCAAAGCAAATTAATGTCATATATAGAATAATTCATAGGATGGATAGAACTTGAAAAAGAGTGTGCAATTATAGGAATAGTAGGCAAATCGAATAAAATAGAAATAAAAACGTTACGTAAGATTGTGTGAAATTTGACAGCACAGAATTTAACGTTGTAAAAAAGAATTGATTTAGAATGACAAGTGGAACAAGTGAAATAATACCAGGGATAGTTCAAAGTGAGAGCAGTAATAGCAGCAGTTGACGTAACAAAGGAAGAGAATACAAATTGAATAAACAAAATGAAAACATGAAAAGTGAAAAATTGATAGAGCCAAAGTATGATTGGGGATTACCATACTTTAGCATAGAGGGATTAAGATCATGAAAGTTGGTGGGGTTGGACGAACTTTTTCTGTACACAGTGATCTGGCTTTTCTGTTTCGATAGCCGAAGATGGCTTCAGTAGTACAGATGAGTCGAGTACGTAGGGATTTGGGTAAATTACTCTTTGCTTTATAGACGACTTTAAAGGTGGAGGCTATAGAGATAGGGTGATCATTATCGACTAGATGTTCAATGATCGCGCTTCTTATTGCTCCACTTCCACCTTTTCGTAACAACCATGCAGAATAGTGTTCTTGCACCCTCTTAGAAAAAACTCAAGTCGAACAACCGATATACCTAGCTCCACGCGAGCAGGTGAATTGATAAACGCACATAGAGTTGGTCAACAGCGGGATCTTGTCCTTCAGGCTATTGAACAATAATGGTCGGCTAGTAAAGGCTATTCTCAGAGATGCAGCAGGGAGTGTTCTTTTTAGGTACTGTGGTATCCTTCGTTTCATGATATGGGAAGTTAGGGCCACTTTGAATCCCAAGGCCATGTAAATTATTTTCCTGGGTACGGATGATAAGTATTATTATTATTATTTTATGCATTCACACCTATGATTGTATTCCCTCGCCGGATATAATTTCTTTATAAAACCATATATATACGATTGTACAGCTTGATAGTAAATTCGTTGAAAGGAGTCTCTTCACTGAATCCCTTGTTTTCATTTTTTATATACAGTTATCTTAGAGTTAAGAACACAATTTTCAGCGTAGAGACTCTTTTCAACGAATTTATTATCAAGCTGTACAATCGTACATATATGGTTTTATAAAGAAATTATATCCGGTGAGGGAATTAGGTCAAAGGTGTAAATACATGAAATAATAATAGTATGAAATGAAATTGAAATATTTGTGATTATATTCATAGTTTAAGTCAAGTGGAACAATAATTAATGTCATATATAAGATAATACATAAGGTGTATAGATTTTGGAGAGAGGTATATATTCCATTATGGGTAAATTTTGTTTTGATAAAGTCTCACAGTGTTATACAGTAATGTTTACTGATGACGTTTCGAGCACAATTTATTGCTCATAATCACATCAACGTAATCACACGACTTCCTAAATTCATTTATATAGTTCCATTGTTTTTCTCTTGATTTTCACTTGATTTGATTGGTAATAGTATTTTCCATATTTCAGGTATGAGTGACGAGTCATTCCTATTGCATGTGTTGGGTGTAGACTCGATGAACAAGGATTCAGTAATCAACCTCTCTCTCCACCTACCTAGATTACTTTTTAGAATTTTAACCCTCTCCCACCCTGTTGTGTGGTTGTGTGTTAACGCATGCATTGCAATTGCTGAACTCTTTTCTAAATTACCTATCTTCTCGGGGTCAACCATTCTTACCTTAGCTAAATTCTTATGCTCTGACAATCTGACTACCCGTGACCTACTAGTTTGACCTATGTAGTTGACTTCACAGTCATTGCATGGTATTTTGTAAATAATATTATTTTGTCTAATAATCGAGGTAATAAGGGAAAAGTACGTAGAATAACTAAATAAATAAAATAAATAAATGTCTATCCCTGTACGGCCAAGGCAGAAGTAGGGATTGTACTTACTTCTTTTGTACACAAAGGTCTGGCTTAAAGTCATGAATTGCCAAGGCCTCAGCTGTCTTTAGAAGTCTGTAACGAAGGAAACGCGGGAAGTTAGCATGAATTCTATATATGACCTTGAAATCATGGTCAGGGTTGACCGAGTGACAGAAGTCGATGAGGTGTTCTAGGATAGAGCTTCGCATACATTTCCTTTCTCCCTTGTAAAACCAAGCTGGAATATGTTCTCGTATCCGTGTGGAGAGCGTTCTCTGACTACGGCCAATGTACCTTGCCCCACAAGAGCAGGTGAACTGGTAGATGCACATGGAGGCGGTCAGACGGGGGAGCTTATCTTTTACAGAGGTAGAGAACAATTTGCGGCTCGTGAACGTCATATGTAATTTAGCTGCAGGGAACGTTTTACTAACTGATTTAGAAAGACGATTTTTGAGCATATCTGAAGCTTGATCTCCTTTGAATTCCAAGTTCATGAATAAGGTTTTCTTTGGAACTGAGTCGGTGACCAGTTTAGACTGCTTATCTTTCATGTTGCTGTCAATAAATCGGTTAGGGTAACCGTTTTCTGCGAGTGTGGCTTTCAAGAAGTCGAGTTCTGAGTCAACGCAATCTGAACTACAAATTTTCCTTATCCTAAAGCAGAGTGAATGAATTAAATTCCTTTTTCGTGGAAATAGGCATCCAACTGTAAAAATTAGTTAGTTGTCCGTTCCATGTACGTTTCCGGTGGATAGATCTTTTGAGAGATCCATCATTACGTCTACTGAGGCACACATCAAGAAACGGAATACTTAATTCAGATTCCTTTTCTATGGTGAATTGTAAAGATGGATTGCAGTTGTTGAAAGCAAACAAGACATCATCAAGAACTACGTTAATATCGCAGATGACGAAAGTGTCGTCTACGTATCTTTTATAAATGTCAAAATGACCGATGGTTTGACTAAGTTGAGAATTTTCCAGCTCTGCCATAAAACAATCAGCCAACAAGGGATCCAGTGGTGATCCCATGACAATGTCATCTCTCTGTCTATAGATCTCATTGTTGAAGGTAAACTGAACATTCAACGTACATCTCAATAAAAGCTCTTTGAGGTGGATTGTCGGTAAACTTATTTCCAAACCATGTGTATCAATATAATCACATAAATAGCTAACAGTTTTCATGAGAGGAACATTGGTAAATAGCCACGTCACATCTGTCTGTCTGTCTGTTTTCGACATAGGACTTTGCACAAATGTGCGGAAGTTCAAGTCGCCACACTCCGTGTAGCACGCGAAGCAAGAGAAGAAAGTACAAGAAAAGCATAATAGAGACAGTAAGCAGAGGTGTGAGACAAAGGAAGAGTAATAACGAAGAACAAAACAGTTTCATTGGAGATCATAAGTCACAAGGAGTGGATGCATCTGTACCACTGAGAACGATTTTGAGCCATGTCACCAATTGTTTCCAACCATAGATTTTTACCGTCCCGAGGACCCCAGCCTGGAAGTCTACACCTTCCTACATGGCTTAGACCAACTGTTGTGGATTTCATTGACTGATGCCAATTTTTTGTTTGACCGCCGCTAGCTTTTTTCCAGCCTGACCCTATATCCGCTAACATTGCTCGTCGAGGGAGGCGATGGCTTGGCATACGTAACACATGTCCTAACCATCTCAGTCTTTGTAATTTCACGACTTCGTCGATTGATTTCCCCTGTTTACCTAGAACTCTACTCCTAACCTCCATGTTGCTCACCTTATTATGCCACTTTAGACGGGAAATAGAACGCAGGCACCTATGATCAAAGACAGCTAGTCTTTTCATGTCTTCCACTCTCAGTGGCCAGGTCTCACAGCCAGCCATAAGGGAGGACGGAGAGGACTGATGAGCAGTACACCCGCCCTTTGGTCGATAGTCGAACATCTCGTCTACGCCAGAGTCGGCGTAAACTGGCAAATGCGAAACTAGCCTTCTGTATTCGTGCTGAGATTTCGTCAGAGATCAACCCGTTGGCACTGGCTGATGGTACTTCCCAAATAAGTGAAGCGGTCAATGTGCTCTACCACTTCACTTCCTATTTTTAAACTAGGTGTCGATGTAGTCCAGTCCTGTATCATCATCTTGCATTTGGCGGGAGCGAATCGCATGCCAAACATTCGTAGATTGCGGCTCAAGGTGTTTAGAAGGCTCTGCATTTTGTCAGCGTCTTCACCTGGAAGGACTATATCGTCTGCATATTCCAAGTCAACGAGATTATTCCCTGGTAACAAGTCAATCCCTGAGTGGCTGAAGTCACTTAGGGTTAAGTCCATTAACACATCTGTGATGAGAAGAGGACTTTGTCTGAGACATT